GTATCCATAAATAAACAAACTTAAAAAAAAATGGTATGGACAAAACAATCCAAACAGTTAATTTTTAATGAGTAGTTACTGTGTCCCAGACAATAGACTAAAGAATTTCACATCCATTGTTTCATGTGGAGATAGTAACTTTTATAGTAACTACAAGTAACATCATTTTAGAGGTGAGGACACTGACAAATCTAAGAAGATGCGTAACTTCCCCATGGGTCCCTAACTGGCAAGTGGTGGAATTGGGATGCTCCTGGGACATCAGGCTGGTTCCCTGCACTGTATATTGTGGGGCCTCTCTTACAGTGAGCAATGATTAGGTTGATGATCTTAAAGCTCCTAGGGCAAAAGGTGCTAAGTGCCAAATGCGAGGCTAGATTCCCATCCGCTTCTCGTTCACAGATGCTCTCCTACAAAACAACTGTTTTCAAACTGACTGTTCCATGGAAAAGTAAGCATGGGCACACGTTCAATTCAGTTTCCCATGTGTGTTCTCACAGAGGTTCTTCCACAGTTTACAAAGACTGGGAACCTGGCCCATTATTAATATTTTTAAAAAGTTATTCTGGCTTCTCTCAGAGCCATATCAGTTTCAAAGATCGCTGTCAGGGTGGGAGCAGCTGAGTTGAAATGGCCTGAATGCTAAATGCAGCCTTGGAGCGGAAACTTCTTTAGTTGAAAAGTTGGTGGAATATTCATAGACATGTAATATGAGCACAGGATACTGAGTCAGTGTCAAAATTTTGTTCCAAACCATATTTGCTATTTGTGAAACCAGCTCCTCAGGGAACTGTGGAGGGATAAGGTGAGGAGGTGGGTGGGGTGGGTTATAGCTGCCTTGAGATGGGCTCTGGACTGGGCTGGGGGGGAGGTCCCCTTCCCAGTGGAAGGAAGGTCTGCTTTCTGCAGGAATTAGGGATCTGGGGATAGGGGAATGGCGATGAGGTCTAGCCCTACACACTCTGGAAGGACCATCCTGCCACACATAAAGAAATCTTTCATGTCACCACCTAAGTTTTGTGTCTGAGATATAGAAAACTCCAGAGGAATCTATACAAAAATCTTTGTGTAGTGTCTTGCTAGTGTGGAAATGATACCAGCTACCTTTTCCTTGAAATTCTCTTGATCAGGATATTGATTAAAAAATCATAGAGGCATAGATTCTTGATTAGTATCATCTTCAGATACTTGATTTTTGTCGTAAGACTCACTGAAGGGATCATCTACTGATGACCCAAAAAATCCTTTCAAGAATTAACAAATCTCTCTCATTTTTTCCCTTAGGAACTCTACTCATCTGTAGTTAATCTAAGAATTAACATTTAGCAAATTACTGCCTCAGTATCTTAAGTGCCTGGTGGCTCAGTTGATTAGAACCCTGTGCTAATGAGGTCATGAGTTCAGTCCCCAGGAGGGCTGGTTCAATGCACCATGGTCCCCCTCCAAGCCCAGCCAGGCCTCCAAATGCACCCCAGTCACAAGTGGCCTTCTGGGGAAGAATCAACACAAATTGCTCGCCATTTGCAGGGGGGAAAAAACTCAAAGCAGATGCCTTGAGAACTTAGAATGTGACAAGGATCTCATGGGGTAACAGAATGGTACCCTAGAGGCCACAAGAGCTTCCTGCAGACTGTGGAAGAGCCACAGTTCCTGAGGGTGGCTTCCATGCTGGCTTTGATGTGTGTGGGAAGTTCCATTCGTGCAAGTTCAAGAAAGTGTCATCCAGGAACAGTAGGAGGTTGGATGTTATTTAAGAGGCAGACTCACAGGGAATCTTTTGGGGGAGTTTTGTTGAATTTTCACTAATCACTTATTTAAAAGATGGATCATTTTGGGTCTTCTAATTAATGGATGTAGTCATGCAAACCATGGGACCATTTCTCCCACAGCCAGCCACTCCGGCAACTTGTCCCAAACTGGCAGGAGACACAGTAGTTAAGAGCTTGAAAATTGTGGGTTATTCTCACTGTTAGGTTTTCTATCCATTTTCTAATCCTAGAAACCACTCCTTCAGGCCTAGGTCCAGTTCCAAGGCCAAATTGCACCTGAGCATGAAGGATACATTGATAACCTCTGAGGCCATTTCCTTGGGTTGAGGGAGGAATAATGCCTAATGAGCTCCAGCTGTGCAGTGCCCCTCCACCCACCCATGGCTTTCTCCCATTACTAGGGAAGAGGCCATCCATTATTTTTTAAATTTAAGACAATTTTTATTACTGTACTCTTGTTACATGGCAGGATGCTTTGTATCTAGAGGGAATTCAGTACTTTTTTGAAACATGAGTGGATGAAAGACTCAAATGTAGAACTGACAAGAATGATCATTTCTGTTGTTTTCTTGTATTTCTCTTTACAAAAGTGTATTTGGTTATTGAAAATAATTTGGAAAATAGAGATGAGCAGAAATTAAGAAAATAAAAATCACCTATAATGTCATTCCTTGGATTTAACCTTGATATTTTAGGGTACATGATATTTATAACTCCATGTATTCTGTCATATATGGAACTCAACAGTATATATTATTATATAATTTGTTAACTTATGAAAAGTATTGTGTGATATTATATATTCTTTCATATTATTATCTTTATTTTTTCAGAGCATTTTATTGCATGACTTGATTTCAACTTAATCAGTCCACATATTAAAACATCTTTGAAGTTTAAACTTTCTACATAGCTTTGTTATTTTCTTTGGGATAAATTCTTTTGAAAGCCATTGCATGGTTTCATGGCTCTCTAACTCACTATGTGCTGGAATGTTGTGCCATGAAAATGCATTCCTGCCAGCCACAATCTGGTGTACTACTACTCTTCTCCTTTGCTTCATTCTTTCATTTAAATTTTATTTAAAAAAGTTATTGAGGGCCTCCCCGGTGGCGCAGCGGTTGAGCGCGGGGTTGCGGGGCTGCCCGCAGCCTCTGCGGTGTCGGTTCGATCCCCGGCTGCTCCCCGGCCACCGGAGGGGAGTCCCACATGGCGCTCAGACCTCTCCTGCCGCCCGCTGCTCCCCTCAGCAGTGTACTTCGGTCCTTCTGCCTGCTCTGCTCCCTGCTCTGGCTCTGGTGAATTCTCTCGCCCTCTGCGCTTCTGACTGTGCCCGGTGCTTGTATAAATAAATAAAAATAATAAATCTTTTAAAAATAAATAAATAAAAAAGTTATTGAAGTAGCATTGTTTTGCATCCTCATTAGTATTTTGACAGTATAGGTAGGACATCCCTCTCAGAAGTAGCCACCGTAGCCCTCCCACCATCAGTCACCCATGGCCCCTCACTATAGTCCATTGTGCATTGCCCCTTCCTTCCCCACTTGGATTCCTCACTTATGTGGTCAGCTTTCAAGCTTTGATTTTGATGATTCTTTGTCAGATACTTTGCTTGGTTTATCTATATTCCACATGTAAGTGATACCACCCCGTAATAATTTTTCTCTTTTGGCCTCTTTTGCTTAGTGCAATCTCTTCTATCTCCAGCCATGTTGTTGCAAATGGCACGAGTTTACCAACATCTTATTGATCCACTCATCTTTTGTCAGGGGGAGGGTGGGGCAGGGCACATTTAGGTTGTTTTCATATCTTTATTTTTTTTAAAGATTTATTTATTTATGCATACAAGAGCTGGGGTATAGGCCAGAGATGCGGGGGGTAAGAGGAATCACCAGAGACAGAGTGGGGAACAGAACAGGCAGACTGACTGAAATACACTGCTGAGGGGAGCAGCAGGCGAGACAGGAGAGGTCTGCTGCGCCATGTGGGTTGCTCTCTGGCCGGCTGGGGATCAAACTCATGCTGCAGAGGCTTCGGATTGCTTCATAGTGTAGTGCTTAACCCTTCGTGCCACCAGGGAGGCCCCTGTTTTCATATCTTTATATGGATATTATTCAGGAATGAATATAAGAGTGCAGCTTTCCTTTCAAATTATGTTCATAGGCAAAAAGTAAATCAGTTATTTTATTTGCCATTCTTTTTCTTTTTTGCATTTCTTTTATTAATATTGAGACTGAGTATTTTTTTTCCTGTAATCATTTTAATGTCTTATTTGCAAATTGCTAATGTCTTTTATGAGTCATATATTTTGGGGATCAATATTCTTACCCCTCCCTATTTCATAAGGTTTTTGTAAGAATTAGTTGAAGTAATCTATTTGAATATGTTTTAAACATACAAGGAAATTCAGCAACACAGTTGTGAATGGTACCCTGGGAGTTACAGGAATGGTCTCCTGCAGACACAGAGTCTGAGTAAACAGGCAGTGAACTGAGGCTTGGTAAACTTTGCCAGTGGAGGGATGGGGAGAGACACTTACACATAAAGGGAAAAATGTGGTGGCTTAGAGCTTTGTTACTTAGAGAAGGTCACTGGAACTAGGTAAGGTCAGAGATAACAGAGGGGCTGGCAGCTCAAAATGTGAGCCAATTAGAAATAACAGGGAGCAAGATGCCAGGGGAGTTAAAGGGACCAAACTCAGGTTTAGTCTATGGCTCCCTGAAATGGGAGGCAGCCAGCCCTCAGCTGCTCTCAAGCCAAAGAAACCAACCAGTGCCACTGCATGTAGGTGTGGTCCTCTGGCCCAGTACACCTGTGCTTTCTAGTAAATCCCTAGAGAAACCACACCTGGGAAAGGCAAGCAAAATACATAGATAGGTGATAATTAAATAAAGAAAATTCTTCACTAAAATTCTCCCAGCATGTACATATATATATACTTTAATATAAATATGTTAAATATAGATACATTTGCTATATGTGTGTTCGTGTGTATATAGTTTGTATACATGTGTGTATGTATATCTATATCTATCTATTTATCTATCTATCTATGTATAAATATATGGATATATGTGATACAGTCTTGCCTGTGGTAATCTCCAGAAAGTGGTAATAAGGTGGGACAGGGAGAAAGAATTACCATAGCTTTTTTTTCACCTTTTAAAATATAGTATCACTCATTAAAACTATCATTCATTACTTCTTTAATTTGAAAATGACCTAATCTAGATAAAAGAATGTAAGATTAAAAAGACATATATGCTGTCAGTGCTGCTGCCACCCTCTACTCTGCACATGGGATGGGGAATTCATTAAGAAGAGGAGCTGAAGTTCCGAGCTGTCAGTGGAGCCCCGGGAAGCTACTGAGAATCACACCTGATCCCCGTAGGGTGCTGAACTCATCACATCACACTTAGATGACAGGGACGCTGCGCCTGCTTGGCAGGCAGTACTCTGGCCAACAGGTAAGACACTTCCTAAGCTGGGAGCAACACAGACCCCTCCAGATCAGGTGTGCATCGCTACATTTAAAGGAAGAGGCACACATTAATTGCAGGAGAAAGAACTTGAAGAACTTGAACTTGCAGGAGGAGGAAAGAAATTTTCTCCCTAGTTCAAAGGATGCCACTGCAGCACAGGAAACAATGTATCTGACTAGGGTTTTATGTTATTTTACATCAGATAAGCTGCTTCAAGGTAACACTGTTTCCTGTGTGGTCCAATGCTAGGCACTGTGCTGGGGCCTAGGGAGACAAATTGGGGATCACACCTGCGTTCATACATGGTTCATGTTTAGAAAGTTGATTTTATCCTAAGTGCAAAGGCAAGATTAAGCGTGCATAAAAATCCACTATAATGATGCAACACTCATGGCTTAACTCAGCGTGTGCAAAAATATATTCAATGAGTGCAAAATGAATGAGTTTATGTTCCATGCTCAGAAAACAACTCACTTTATTTTTAAACATTGATTTTAACTTCTGTGACATGAACACTTATGCCCATTTAGATTTATTTTTGTCAAAAGACCAAGCTACAGTGATGAGAAGAAGTCTGATGTCGAGAAACGTGTCTTAAGTGAAAGGTAAGGTTAATGAGATGGTGTGTGTGCAGCGTGGGTTGCGTGTGGTGCTCTGTGTCACCCATCTGTATCGTCGCCCAGTATGTAGGCTGAGCAGGTATCCATACTGCATCCATGGTACAGGTGAAGAAACAGTCTCAGAGAAGCAAAAGAGATGTGACAAGACCACATTCCTATGTGCAGTCCTGGGCATGCATGCCTCTGCCTGGTCAGTTTTCTGTGATGTCAGGACAAATGGTGGTCACAGTGGTACATAGAGTAGTGCAGGGTTCTTCTGGTGACCTCTGGGGTCCTTGTAGTAGGAGATTATGGGAGTAGGAAGGTACTGACATGTGACATGGAAACCTTAGTTATCACTCATTGCAACTGTGTGCCCCAGCCCATCTCTGCTGGCCAGAGAGTAGGAGACTCGGCACTCTGATTACTTCCACACTCTACATTTAATTAGGGCTCCCTAGTCCTGAGATTGGGGAGGGGCCCACGGTCAGTTCCAACTTTCTCTTTCCACATGGTGTTCTCTGTCATCCAGTTCTCCTTGAACTTGCCTCCAGAAGAATCTCCTGCAACTAGCATCACCCTTATTGTCTGAGGTGCTTTGAGGTGGTCAGCATTTTTTCCCCACTTAAAAAAAAATTATACATTTTTTACATCATTTTTCATTTTTGCACAATGTATGCATTTTCATCTTGGTTATAGTCCCCATACAATTCTCACCCCCTTTGTTTTGATCCTACTCCCTCCCCCCCCCCCCCATAGTGTGTCTCTGGTTTATAGTTGCTTGTTGATTTTGATTTTTACTTTATTATTATTATTATTTTGTGTGTGTGTGTGTGTGTGTGTGGGACCCTTGCCGGAGGCCGGGGAACAAACCAGTGCTGCAGAGGCTGCGGGCAGCCTCCCAGCCCAGCGCTCAACCGTTGCGCCACCAGGGGAGGCCCGGATTTTTACTTTATTATAATTAGGTTTTTTCCTGGTCCCTTATTTAGGTCTTCTAAATTCCTGCTATGAGTGAGACCATCTGGTATTTTTCTTTTTCTTTCTGGATTATTTTGCTGAGCATGATCCCTTCCAGCTCCATCCATGTTGCTGCAAATTGCATGAGTTTATCTTTTTTGATTGCTGAGTAATATTCCATTGTGTATATGTTCCACATCTTCTTAATAAGTCATCTATTTTTGGGCACTTGGGTTGTTTCCATAGCTTACCTATTGTAAATAAAATTTTTGCACACAACACTAATGATAAAGGACTGATCCCAAAAATCTACAAAGAGCTGATGAGACTCAGCAAAAACAAAGTAAATAATCCAGTCAAAAAATGGACAGAAGAGCTAAAAGAAACTGCTCCAAAGAGGAAGTGCAAATGGCCAACAGGCATATGAAAAAATGTTCAGCATCACTTGTAATCAGGGAAATGCAAATCAAAACTACCATGAGATACCATCTTACACCAGTGAGAATGGCACATATTAAAAAAACTAGCAACAACAAATGTTGGCAAGGATGTGGAGAAAAAGGAACTCTCCTGCACTGCTGGTAGGAGTGAGTGCAAACTGGTCCAACCACTATGGAAAACTGTGTGGCGATTCCTCAGTCTGCTAAAGATGGAGCTTCCGTATAATCCAGCAATTCCACTCCTAGGTATTTACCCAAAGAACACAGAATCGTTAATTCAAAAGGGCACCTGCATCCCTATGTTTATGGCAGCACTATTTACGATAGTTAAGCTATGGAGGTGGTCAGCATTTTGGGATGCACACATGGCAATTGGGCTAACTAGTGTTGCTCTCCAGCCACCATGGATTTACTGGTTTCTGGAAGGATCATACTGGAAATTTCAGAGCAAAATGATTCACACCTTAATGATCAGGATGTAAAATACAGTATTCTGAGTTTGAATTGAAGGAACCTGCAATCTTTGAGTTCTAGCTCTTCAGAAAAATGACAGTTGCTACAAGATGTGAACTTGATATTTGAAATGGGAAGGTACCTGGGAGCTTGTGTGAGGTAGGGAAACAAGCATGGCTTTGATGTAGATATGGGTTCCAGACCAGCAGCGCACTGACTGTTGTGTGGCAGGACATTTGAGTGATCTCTGTGAGACACATTTTCCATCTTTAAAATGGGGACAAATCTACCTCAATTTATTGGTGAGGAGTACTAAGGAGAATTGAAATATAGGGTTGTCAGAAAAGTATAAAAAATATGTCACGACTTTTCTGACAACCCAATATCTAGCCCATAGGAGACACTCAAAAAATATTCATTTCAGTGTTCTTCTGTCCTAAGTCATTTAATGAATCCTCCAAAAATAGAATGTACTTCAGTGTAGAATCCCACTAATTTTTTGTTTGTGGGACAGCCAGGAGGATGTTATATTTCTTTGTTTGACTTGTGTTAAGTTGACTTCACACTTTGAAAGGGAAAAAAAGGAAACCTATAGTAGCTCAAACAATGAGCCTTTTTAAAGCTTGCATTGGACATCAGTTTCAAAGAATATTCTTATTAACATACTTTCTTATAAATGGAGCACCACTCATCAAATATTTATAAGTAGTAGGCTGAGAAGTCAGCCCAGTGCTTAGCAAGCCCGGGGACATTTCCCATGTGCTCTGTGGGATGGCGTAGGCAGGGGAGACCCTTTAATTTTGTGACATGGTTTGGGGGCTCCAGCGTGAGAGGGTCTTGGCATGATTTCTCCCGGCTCTGGGCCTATTCTGGAGCCTTTCAAGACTCCCACATGTAGCTGGTCCTTGCAGGCAACTCCCTTTGAAGTCCACGGGAGCTCTTTGAATGGAAAACATACACAACGGGGTGTTGATGCAAATAAGAATCAGGCCTGATACAAGTGGGGAATAAAGGTGCCTCTCACCCCAAATATTAGCTCTTTAGCCCAGAAACTGTGGTTTGATCGTTAAATGAAAGTGTTTCCCCAACCATACCTCAAAATCTACAATCTACCATTGAAGCTCCACCATCCATTTGCTCAGGAGATGATAAACCTGCTAATTACCTGAGAGTTTTAATTAAGCCATAGATAGAGCAGTGCTGGGCTGTTTTTACTTTAAACATATCAATAAAATAAACATTCTCAATTCCAGGGGATCTTGCTAAATGAAAAAATAAACATTTCTGACTTTTGAAATATCACTCATCGGGTGTGATCATTTAGAAAAATATCTCTAATAGAGATATTTTTTGGTGGGAAATGCAATTGCTGTTGGAGCACAAAGCTGCAATTTGTAGACAGGTTAAGTAAATTAAATCACTCACTGTCTTTTTTTCCAATGGCTTTAAAAGTTAAAGGTAATTTGCAAAGAAAATGCTCAGTTTGAATTGGTTTGTAATATCTGTTAATGATCTTTAAAAAAATCCACTTATTCACAATCCTGTCCCTGAGGGAATTCCAGTGTGTTATCAGAAAAATTCTAAAGTCTGAAATGACATTAGCTAGTGATTTCTTTGAAATAAAAAGCCCCCCAAAATAAATTATATAAGGTATACAAGTGCACAGGACAATCACTTTGAAGAATAATATGTTTTTCATACCGAAAAAAGTAACAATTGAAATCCAAGCTGCTAAATTATAGCGTGTTGAATTACCGCAGTGTAGGCATACCTGCTCTGTTTATTTCACACATATATTGGATTCTTCCATATATTTATAGATTGTTGATGTAAAAACAGTAGTGTTAGGAGCAATTTTGATTATATTCATTGTGTTTACCATTTGGAAACTCAAGGTGTTGCCAAAATACAGGGCCTACAGGTGTTGCCATCCAGAATTAAAACAATAACCCATTTCTGTGTGGCACCCTAATGCCAGAGCAAGTGCCATTGCCCAGAGTGAGCAGATTGCCCCATGCCAGATAGCAGAGCTGTGAAATGCCAAAAAGGGAAACTTTTCTTCTCGACCCCAGTTTTTGCCTGGAAGCAGGGGAGTCTTTGTAACATGATATTACTCAGTGTAACTGCAGATGCTGGTTTGGCTGCTATAAATAGCCTTTTTTTGTTGTTTTTTTGAGAGAGGAGTTGGATTTTAGTAAACCTTTTGCTACAGGTTAATTATACATTCGGTAAGAAAGCATTTCCTTGTAGCCAGTCAAAATTTGTCACCTTTTAATCCTGCTTTATATAATAAGCCTAGAAATATATGTGTTCCCTGAAGGCTTCTCATTATTATCAGTTTTATACATTGAACCTTTAAGTTTTTTCTCCTCATGCATTACTCACCTTTTACCAAACTGCAAAGGTTCCAGATATATTTGTTTTGGCCTGAGGATGGCACTCTCTTCTCCTCATCCAGCTGACTGATAATCATGTGGGGTTCTTCCTCTTCCTCCTTTCTGCCCTGTGATGTCAGGGATGCAAACTGAAACCAGGTAAGAGCAAAACATTTGCTGCTATAAATGGAGGTATTCTATGTTAATCCTTCCATTTACTTATTCTAAGAAAACAGAAGGCAATATTTGAAACTTTGCAATCTTCAAAGGCTGGTGACTTGGTGCCTTATTCTAGAGTGAACATACCCCTGTAACACCCTCTCCCAGGCCCAGGACAAGAAATATAACCTGTGTTTTCGGTTGCCCCTGTGATGGGAAACCCCCCCTTCCCAAAGACAATCACTTTCCTGATTTCTGACAACATTGATTTGTTTTGCTTTGTTTTGAATTTCATCTAAATGGAATTACACGGGAGAGGTGTTCTACTGTGTCTGCTTTCATTCCCTCAGTAGCAGGTGAGCTGTAGGTATGTTGCTGGGTGTAATCGAAGCATATTTGCCTTGTTCTATCTCCTGCCATTGTGTCAATAATGGACTCTAGTTCACCCATTTTATCTTTGATGAGCATTTGGGTTGTTTTCAGCTTTAGGCTATTTCAGAGAGTGCTGCTGTAAACTTTCTTGTGACATCTTTGGTGGGTCTGTGCATGCATTTCTGTGAGGTATATAGAATACAGGGGATATTATTAAGTTGTTGGGTATAACTATGATCACCTTAATAGATAATATCAAATGGTTTTCCAAAAAGTGTATATCATTCTCCACTCCCGCCAACCAGTGAGTGAGATTTATTGACTCTGCACCCTTGTTAGCATCTGCTGTCCTTAGTCTTTTTGATTTTGGTCATTCAGGTTGTATATAGTTGAATGTCATTGTAGTTTGAATTTGAGCATCTCTTCATGTATGTTAGCTATTTGGATATATTGTGAATGGATTTTTCAAGTGTTCTTATTCTTCTGTTGCATTATTCATCTTTTCTTACTGATTTGTGGGAGGTGTTTATATATTCTGGATATGAAGCTTTTTTGGTTACATACGTCACGAATACTTTTTTAAAAAAGATTTATTTATTCATGCATACAAGAACCAGGGTACAGGCCAGATGTGCAGGAGGGTGAGAGGATTCACCAGAGACAGAGTGGGGAACAGAACAGGCAGACTGACTGAAAACACTGCTGAGGGGAGCAGCAGGCAAGACAGGAGAGGTCTGCTGCGCCATGTGGGTAGCTCCCTGGCTGGCCAGGATCGAATCTGGGCCGCAGAGGCTGCAGACTTCCTCACAGTGCTGTGCTCAACTGTCTGCGCCACCAGGGGAGACCTCATAACATCACAAATATTAATTACTATTATTCTGAGCTTGACTTTTCTCTCTGTGGAGTCTTTGGATGAACAGAAGGTTTTGGTTTTAAGCTACCTTAAAACCAGTATTTTTCTTTTAGTTAGTACTTTCTATATCTTATTTAAGAAAACATTGCTGACTCCATCAGCATGAAATATCCTCTTTTGTTTAACCTCTTGGAAGCTTTATTGCTTCATCTTTTACCTTTCCACATGACACTGGTTTTTGTATGTGGTGTGAGGTTTGTCTTTTTCTCCATAATATATATTTACCCTACAGCCATAATGGAAAATAGTTCCTTTAACTAGTGTTCTGATATGGCACACTTGTCATAAATTAAACACTCACGCATTTAAAGAAAGATAATAGTGACTTTCAAATTTTATTCTGTGAATTATTTATTTATTTATTTATATTTTAAAAAGATTTATGCATCCATGCATACAAGAGCTGGGGTACAAGCCAGAGGTATGGGGGGGTGAGAGGATTCACCAGAGACAGAGTGGGGAACAGAACAGGTGGATTGACCAAGGTACACTGTTGAGGGGAGCAGCAGGTGAGTCAGGAGAGGTCTGCTGCGCCATGTGGGTTGCTCCCTTGCTGCCTGGGGCTCGAACTTGTGCTGCAGAGGTTGTGGATTGCTTCATAGTGCGGTGCTTAACGTCTTGCACCACCAGGGAGGCCCTGTGGTGAACTATTTAATGGCATCTTTGAATGTTATGCTAATGTTACATTTCTGAAGTAAGGGCAACTTAGTTATGATGTAACATTTTATGTATTTCTGAATATGTTTGCTTAAATTTTTTCAAAATAATTTCTACAACGTGTGTGAATGAAATTTATCTGTAATTTTCCTTAGTGTCATGTTTGGTCAAATTTTTTATCAAGATTTAGAGTGATCATGAGTTGAGAAGAGTCCTCTTTACATGCTTTAAAATGTACAAACGTAAATGATTCTAATTTAGAGAGAGAGTGAGTGTGTGTGTGTGTGTGTGTGTGTATTGGGTTATCCAAAAAAACAGAACAACTAGGATATGTAGAGTGATTTAGAAGAGGAGACTTATAGGAATTGGCTCACACAGTTACAGAAGTTAATGACCCCATGAACTGGTGTCTGCAAGCCAGGGAGCTAAGAAACTGATGGTGTCATTCATCCAAGTCCAAAGCCCGAGGATCAGAGGGTGGGTGCAGTGGTGCAAGTCCTGGTTGGATTCTGAGGGGTTGAGGACCAGGAACTCTGATGTTCAAGGGCAGGAGCAGATGGGCATCCCAACTCAAGCCAAGCAAATGAAGAAAATTCACCTTCTCCTTTTCTTTTACTCAGGCTCTCAATGGATTGGATAATGTCCATTGCATTGGTGAGGGCGAGCTTTACTCTGTACCAAATCAAATGCTAATCTCCTAAGGCAACATCCTCACAGACACTCCCTGAAATGTTTTGCCAGCAACACAGAACATCCCTGATCCCAGTCAAGTTGCATATAAAACTAACAGTTACTGTAAGTATTTACTACAATTTTCTTTCTTTTCAAGTTCAGTATATTTTAACTTAGACTTCTACTAGGAAATTGGTTTTTTTTTTTGTGGGTTTTGCTTGGGAAAATAAATAGAAGTTAGACTATCTTCTCGAAGTCTCTTTATGGCACTCAGCCATCTACTCATGTGCCCAAGGCTGGAATTTGTTACTGCTTCTCAATCCAACACCTATGGCCAAGATCTGTTTGGGTTTAAAGGAGATCATATTGAGATAAGAAACTTTAGATCAATTCTGGCACTTTGATAAAACACCAATGCCCAATGAAAATCTTTAAAGCCAATTTCACCTCCTAGTTTTGATACCTTCAGTCACTGTTCCACAGGGTTAAACAAACAATAAGTACTATGTATCTCATACTGCTCTCCATTCCTGCTTGCTGTTGTCCTAGTTCAAGGCCTGTCAACCTATTGCCTGGACAATGGCATTTGTGAGACTCGTGGCCTTCATTTCATCTTTTGCTCAGCCATTCAAGTGTTTTGAAAGCCTGTTGCATTAGTCACATGTTGAAAACCATCTGTTGACTCACCATTGCTTCACAAGATGAAGTCCAAGTTCATCAGTGTGGCACAAAGGTTCTTCCATGGCCTGATTCTTGCTTCCCTCTCCAGACTGTTGTCTTGCCTGGCACCAGTCTTCAGCTTCACACACCAGCGGCTCCAGCTGCTTGCAATTCCTAGTGCACATCCTGGGATTCTTGTGACCCAGTTTCTGCCTATGCTGAGCTTTCTTTCTGGCACCAATTGTCATGTCTTTCTCCAGGAAAACCCATTCTTAACATTCATCTCAGGCCAGATCTCTTGACCCCACGTAGCTGGGGCTGCATGGTCTCCTGTCTGCCCATGACTGTGTCACTGTTGTTAGACCATGAATTCTTTCAAAGCAGGGCCCAGGTCTTCATCATCTACATAGTTCCATAACTTGCTGTGTACTGGGAGATAGCCTGCACTTAATAAACATAGATTCCAACGAAGAAACATCAGTCTCTAGTTGAGTAGTTGCAGTATCATTTTATCTATTTTTGGAAGCCTAAGATGGAATAACATGGTCAAATTGTTGTGACCAGAGGGAAGTAGGACGGCAAAGGCTATGGAAAAATCTACAGACATAATCTCTTCCTGTATAACAGAATGCAGCTCAAATGATTAAAACTTTCTTATGGCGGAATCCGCATTTATAGAATGGATTAGTAGGAAGGATTTTCTTTAAAGATAGATTTTTCCAGAGAAACAAATTTGGACAATTTACTCTAAGAGTTTAAATGAAAAAAAATAATCCTACTTAAAAGGCAAATTGACCAAAATTCTTCCCCTTTTCTCTTACTAATAAAAGAGTTTACACAGAAAATCTATAAGAAATTGTATAAGAGATTCACAAGGATCATTAAAGTCTCTACTAGACATTCACTTTCACTTTGTAAAATTGGCTATACCCTCAAAATGGTATCACATAAAAATGGACTTTCTGGGGCTCTTATATATGAATGGGTTTTAGTTGCACAGTGGTGCCATTCATTTTATTTGGCCCATTATTGCAAGTACATTCTAAATTTGGCCTTAATTATTTTTCCTTTCACAAAAATATTTTGTGGGATCTTTTTGAACCCTGACTACTTCCTTCTTGCCCCTTAAAACAGAATCCAGGAGTGTTATTTTTGTTCTCTTCTAATTAAAATAATTGCTTGGTTCCTTTTAACTAGATTCATGCAGTTATTAGCCTAATACATGGATAGGTGCCATGGGGTGCTTGAGAAACAAAATGAAGAGTGATCATGTAGCTTCACATGAAAAAGATTCCGTGGTGCCAAGGAGTATTATTTCCTTTCAGCCGGCATTTTATAAGGGCCTTCAGTGAACCTGGCCCCCCATACTCTTACTAAAAGGCTATTAAGTGAAAGAATAGTTCTATTTTCTTTATTAGGTATACAGCTAACTCAGTACAATTTGAAGAGGGGCACTTGATCTGCTGGCACAAAGACCCGGGTTCTGGTTTTAATCTCTGCCCCTGCTTTGTCTTTCAGAATAACTGCAATTGAAGAAGAACGCTCCGTATCCTCTTTGCCAGTTGGTGTTTATCTGAGACAGCGGAGAAAAAGGGACAGAGTGCCTGTGTATGTGTGTTAATCAGGCGTTATCAGCACCCTGCCCCAAAAGGAAGTGTTAAAATAATGTTTTTGACATTCAGACTTTTTTCAAATTTGATGTAACCTGAGAGTTGGCAAACAAAGGCTCACAGGTGAAATCTGACCTGTTGCTGGTCTTTGTAAATAAAGTTTTATTGTAACAGCCATATGCATTTGCTTATCTATTGTCTACTGCAATTTTGCTTTACAACTTGGAGTGGTTGTGACAAAGACCAAATGACCTATAAAAACTGAGAAATTTACGCTGATCCTTTACAGAAAAGGCTTGCTGACTCCTCATAGAGTAGATCCAATTCACTGAGTATCTATTGAATTCCTATTCCATCTGAGAAATTTGCTTATAGGGATTTTTATGTGGTCCTCATTCACCCAAATACTGAGGGCTTTTGCTCATGTTGTGGTTCAGTATAGATGGATAGATAGCAGGAAGTGACAAGGACTTGGGACAGGAAGCTATAGTTTGAGGTAAGGTGTTATCATTGTCTCAGTGGCAAGTCACTGACCATGCCTGGCATTTTCCTTGTCTGCTACCTGGAGAAGGAGGTGTTGACATGGCTTGGCATATACCCTTATGACTCACTTCAAGATCTTATGGTCAACATTGTAAACTTCAATTTTGAGGCAAAAAAAAAAAATGGAGGCACCTTGCCACCAGTTGTTGTTGGGAGGGCCACGTGAGAGAGGACAGGTCGAAGTAATTTTGAAACCGTAGGTGCTGAATTTGTGGCATAGAGATTGTCTATAAAGTTTGACTGTTATTTCTGTTCACCATGCAGAGATTAAACCTAGGTAGATGACATAGTATATCAGACATGAAGCCTGTGGAACAGCTGAAAGTTAGGTGTCTTGGTGTTACATCGCTGCTTTTTCCAGTATACCACATCCTTATGACATCATGCTTCTTCTTGTAGTTTCAAAAATGCTCAGTTCTTTAGTTCATGTGTTCATTCATACACTATTCAACATTATTTGAGGGCCTACTATAAACTGAAATCATTTCAGGGGAGTGATGACTATATGAAGACGAGTCAGAAGATGAAGAATAATTTTGGTCTTGGATTTCTATGACTGAAATCCTCAAAAGAGTAGAGATTCTCCTCCTGATTTTCCCGTGTTGCCCAAGGAGTTGGCTCTTATTTGTGATATGGAAAAAGAGAAAGTAAATACAATGAAAAAGGAGAGCAGTCCTGTCATTCAACAAAATGTTCTCAGACATGTTTTAAGTCGTGTGTATGTGTATGCACCTGAGTGTGTGTGTGTGCGTTTATATATCACAAAAGGAAAGAGAGAGATACTGAAATATTGATAGCACACTGTTCTAACCACTAAAGGATGGAGATAATATAGGTTTTAGAGATTTGGAAGTTAAGATTCTGGTAAATAAAGTCCAAAGGAATCCAAATTAGAGAAATTTTCAAATATGCACTGTACAGCTAAATGACACAGATATAACATAGGTGTGTCAGATGAGGACTTATTTTAATGTATAGTTAAATAGTCTTCAGTCAGATTGTGTTCACTCAGTTATGTGCCTTATAATTTTTGAAATAAGTTATCAAATGTGCCTGGAAAAATCTGCTTCCAGTTTATAGTTGCTTATTGATTTTGATTTTTACTTTATTATAATTAGTCTTTTTCCTGGTCCCTTATTTAGGTTTTCTAAATTCCTGCTATGAGTGAGACCATCCAGTATTTTTCTTTTTTTTTTCTGGCTTATTTTGCTGAGCATGATCCCTTCCAGCTCCATCCATGTTGCTGCAAATTGCATGAGTTTATCTTTTTTGATTGCTGAGTAATATTCCATTGTATCTATGTACCACATCTTCTTGATCCAGTCATCAAAATCAATAAGCAACTATAAACCAGAGATACACTATGAGGGGAAGGGGAGGAGGGATTAGGGTCAAAATAAGGGGAGTGGGAATTGTATGGGGAATATAACCAAGATGAAAATGCATATACATTGTGCAAAAAGGATAAATGTTGTAAAAAATATATAAAATTAAATTAAAAAAATCAAAAAAGATACTCAATAAAAACATGTTACATAAGCAAAAAAAAATCTGCTTCCATAAGGCAAATATTACATTTGCCTTGTCAAGTTAAGCGAGGTGGAATTTTTCAGTGGTTCTCTAACTGTTTTTAATGCTTTCCCTTTTAATAGGGAGGTTTGCTAATATCTTCCTCATATTTAATGTCATTGGATACTTGTTTCCTTCAGGTTTATATGTGAACCAAAGTCATATGCTTCTTTGAAATGAAGGTGCCGATGAAGCTGCCTTCTAAAAAAAAACCCATCTTCCAGAATCTTCCATGTATAATTGTCACCTACTAAGACCTGTGAGAGGTACAGTAGAAAATTCTTGTTCCCTTTTCACTCCCCACAGAAGGCAGTCATAGCCCTGCTTTATAAATTTGGAGGTGGTGTTATCTGCAACTCATCCATGAAGCTGTGTTACTTTTCAGATAGTCCCAGGACCCAGGATGATGCTGTTTTAGGAAATGTAATTTGTGTTAGTACATGAAAAGCATATTCAGAGCTGGGCTGAGCAGTGATAGAGATAATACTTTTCATCTGTATAAAAATTCTAAGTATTAAGTATTTTATATAACTTTGCTGTAATAATGGAGTGACATTTCTTCCATTTTCTGTGGGGGAACCGTTCTTTTTCTAATTCTAATCTTTTAGCAGGTACTTCACTGAAAAATTGTCACCATGTGGGAATTGTTTTGCAGAGGGGAAATAAATCTTTCAACGCAGTGTAAAATTCCACTGAAACAGATGACCTCCATTTCCTCAGTGTATAAACCTATTTTTAAGTGATTAAGAAATGCTCTGGGAAAAAGTTCTAACTCATTGAAAATTGTAGGGAATATTATTATATTACTCCTGCTACTATTACTACCATTACTTTTGCCCTCACCACCATCCCATGGATCACCTTTGACATTTTCCCTACCCCCCTTAATCTCAGAAACTTCATTTTTTAAAAGATTTATTTATTTATGCATACAAGAACTGGGGTACAGGCCAGAGGTGTGGAGAGTGAGAGGATTCACCAAAGACAGAGCAGGGAGCAGAACAGGCAGATTGACTGAAAACACTGCTGAGGGAAGCAGTGGGTGGCGAGACAGGAGAAGTCTTCTGCACCATGTGGGTATCGCCCTGGCTGACCAGGGGTCAAACTTGTGCTGCAGAGGCTGCAATAGCTTCATAGTGCTGTGCTTAACCCCTTGTGCCACCAGGGAGGCCCTCATTTTGTTTTTTTAATAACTACTACTTTTAATAAGTATTTACTTTGTCTAATCATCCACTACTTAAAGTTGCAGTATTTGTCTTTATCATTCTAACTTGCTGTACTACAAATAATTCCTTCAAAGTCCCTCCATTTTGCTGTAAATGGCAACATTTCATCTTTCCTTATAGCTAGTGTTCATAGAGTAGATATAGCACGTATTGATTTAGTCTTCTATTGATAGTCATCAAGATTGTTTTTATGTCCTTAGCTATTGTAAATAGTGCTGCAATAAATAGTATAGAACATCTAGGTTTTTGAGTTTATGGTTTCAAATTCTTTGGATACATGCCCAAGAGTGGAATTGCTAGATCATATGCTACTTACATTTTTAATTAATTAATTAATTAATCTTTTTATTTATTTATTTATACATACAAGCACTGGGGTACAGTCAGAAGCGCGGAAGGGTGAAAGAATTCACCAGAGCCAGAGCGGAGAGTAGAACAGGCAGACCGATGAAGTACACTGCTGAGGGGAGCAGCGGGCGGCAGGAGAGGTCTGCGCGCCATGTGGGACCCTCGCCCAGTGGCAGAGGATCTAACCAGCACTGCAGAGGCTGCAGGCAGCTTCGCAACCCAGCGCTCAACTGCTGCGCCACCGGGGAGGCTTACATTTTTAGTTTTTAAAGATAAATTCAGATCATTTTCCAAACTGGATGCACCACTTTGCATTCCAACTAATAGTGTATTAGGGCTCTTCTTTCTCTGCATCCTCTCTGGTATTTATTGTTTGTTTGTTTTTTTTTAATGTGTGCCATTCTTATAGCTGTGAGATGATATCTCATTGTAGTTTTTTTTTTTAAAGATTTATTTATTTATACAAGAACTGGGGCACAGGCCAAAGGCGCGGAAGGATGAGAGAATTCACCAGAGACAGAGCAGGGAGCAGAACAGGCAGACAGACTGAAAACACTGAGGGGAGCAGCAGGCGAGACAGGAGAGGTCTGCCACGCCATGTGGGTATCTCTCTGGCCGGTTGGGACTCGAACCCATGCTGCAGAGGCTGCAGACAGCTTCACACCACTGCGCTTAACATGCTGTGCCACTGGGAGGCCCCTCATTGTAGTTTTAACCTGAGTCTTCCTTAGTAAAATTGATGATGAACATTTTTCACATCTATGACTTGGATATCCTCTCTGATGAATTGTCTGTCAAGATCTGCTATTCATTTACTAATCTTTTTTTGTTCCAAAGTTATATTTATTGAGGTGATACTGATTTACAGCACAATATATATTTAAAGGTTAGGTTTACACTTCTACAAGTGTGTGTTATTTCACCATACCCACTACCAAATCTCCAGTAATCCTCCATTGGACTCCCCTCTCCACTTTGCTCTCATACCACCATATTCCCCTTCTGGTAGCTTTAGTCATAGTTAAAGGTGCTTTTCCATCTCCTATTTTTACCCCTCCACCCCTCTCTCTTCCTCCCCTTCTGGATGCCTCAGATCTAGGTCAACTTTCAAAGTTTGTTTTTATCTGACCTTTAGTTTGGTTTCTCTATATTTCACATATAAGTGAAACCATTTGATATTTATCTTTCTTCTGGCTTATTTCACTTAGCATAATCCCTTCAGCTCCATCCATGTTGCTGCAAATGGCATGAGTTAATCTTTTTGATCGCTGAATAATATTCTATTGTGTACATATACCACATTTTCTTGATTCACTTAACTGTTTTGAGGCATTTAGGTTGTTTCCATATCTTGGCTATTATAAATAGTACTGCGATATACATAGGAGTACAGGTTTCCTTTCAAATGAGTGTTTTGTGTTCTCTGGGTATGTTGGGTCATATGACAGGTTCATTTTTGTGTTTTGAAGAATGTCCACACAGCT